CTCGCCGTGGTGGTCGTGTGAGGGGTTCTCCGCGCCTTTTACGTCGTCGTGCGAGGGGAGGGGTGCCTCGGAGTCCGCGCCGTCCGGTATGTCCGTCCGGTGGGACCTCCCTACAACACGTCAAGCGATCAAGAACTAGCACAGCCGCGGGTTTTAGAGCTTTATCTATTTTTGGTTTTAAAAAGCTGTGCTGTGCTTAAAGTCTGTGCGTTTGTGTGTGTGTGTGTGTGTTTGATTATTATGGTGTCGAGAAAACCAATCGAAAACTAATACAGCTATGAATTTTTATGCTATTACTTTTTTTTAATAAAGCTTTGCTGTGTTTATACTCTGTGCGTTTCTTTCGTGTGTGTGATTATTCTTGTGTCGAGAAAACGAATCAAATCTATTACAATGGCGGATTTTTACGCATTCAGTTTATTTATATATTTTTTTCTTGTGAAGCTGTGCTGTGCTTTAATCGTTTGTGCGTTCGTGATTTTTTGTGTGTGACAATCATTGTGTTACTTACACTAAGCGATGTTAATTTATAGCGATTTTGTTTCAATGTGCTGTTATTTATATTTGAAAACTTGATTAAACTACGCTCGGCTTTGTTATACTTGTTTGCTTAGTTAGGTTTTTTAAACCTGTGCATGTAGTTATTTCATCATAAATATTGATAAATCTTTTTGTGCTGCTGTTTCATTGTTGAGCTATGCATTAATTTCTGTGCATGTATCTACTTTGTGGTTGACATTAATCAAAGCTACAACTACACTTTCTTTGGATTGTAATTTTTGTTAGTATTGTTAAAACTACGTAGTTTGTGCGTTATTACTACAACCACACCTGAGTAATATTCTGCAACTTAATAATATATATAATGTTTTATAGGCGTACATTATTGCAATTAAAATTAATAATTAAGTCCAGCCGCTTTACTAATTACTAGATATATTTAAACTGTTTTAAAACTTAATCTGTTTTCGCTTCAAATTAAGGAAAAAAAAGAAGACGGTTCATATTTGTATGGAGGGTGGCAGTCAGTCTTCGGCAAACTTAATTTTTTTGTGATACCTCGAGCACTTACTTGTAAATCGTTTGGCAAAAAACTAGAATTTATTATATCTCTTTTTTTAATAAATATTAAAATATAAAATTGTATAATAGGGCATTTGAAAGTATTAAAAATAAATTGCCAAATATAGCGTCTGTATTTAGAATGAATATTGACAGGAGTTTAACTATTTTTACAGAATAAATATTCATAATTTTACTTAACACCCATGAAAAAGATAAGTTTTCTTATCTATTGTGACGTGACGGAACGCCTGGGTTCGATGGAGTCTAAAATGACGACACACGCTAGTAAACTACCGGTTAAAGTGACATTACATTGTTTCGTTTGACGTTTTAATGACAGTCGTGAGACGCCGCATACCAGTGAGACGCCATATTGTCCAAAGAAACGTTGCAACTTGAAAACGGAGTTCTTGATTTAGTTTCTTTAATGAAATACACAACAGAATGATAGATAACCACTTTTTATGGACTCCATAAACATAAGTTAATAACGTGAAATCACTCGATCTTAAACTTCTCAAATACCCTATTATTTATTGGCAAATGGCAAATTATTCTGTCTATTTTTTGTTGCCAAAGCAGCAAATATATTCTAAAGATAACTAAAGCAGCGATAATGATTCTGTTCATCTTTTATTGCATTATGTATTTTCTTGGTATTTTATTTCAAGAAGAATCAACCATAAATTGGAATAATAAATTCCCCACAATATTAAGAATATCATGCTCGACTGGACTTATTGACATTTGCCATAGCTACTAAGTAGACTTATATCGAAAATCTAGCGTGTGGTTAATTATACAAGATGAAATTGTAAATAAATAAAAAAAACTTTAGATTTTATAGATTTCGACAATATACGCGGGAAATTTTGCAGTTGGTGTAAAATTTTGTAATAAGTGTAAAATATTATTAATTTACTATTAATAAGCACAGACTTTTGAAATAATCGTTCTTTAAACTTTCTACGCTCTAAAAAATTCCTACGCGAAGCTAGTCAATATATAAAATTATTAAAAAAACAAAAACCACCACCATTTATTTTAAGAAAATATATGTAAATATATTTAAGGTTCAGGTTATATTCAATGCCCAACACCATAATTTTGCATTGATTGAATACAATAAAATAATGATTCATAAGCACAGAATTGAATTGTGTTCAATGTTTATGATTTTTTTATTCATACAATTATTGTGGAAATAAAATCGAGCTTGGAGATACTATGTACCTATCCAGAAAATCTCAAAGTACGAAATATATAAGAAACCTAAAATTAAAAAAATATCCACTGAAAATATTATAATTATTCAATAGAAAGAGAAGTAAGAAGTATTAATTTAAATTTATTGAATAGTACATGCAATAGAAGAATTATGAAAATTATAGCAAAAAACTGCTACATGCTATTATACCATACATAGAATGGAAAATCTAGACAATCAACATTATCACACATGCGCCGAAATTTTTCATAAAAATATCAACATGCAATTATTTGTATCTTTTATTTCAAAATAATTATTAATTCGGAACGTTCTTGATCGCTCAATATATTGTAAAGGGCACATAACAATCTCATATATTTATTAATAATACTTAAACACAATACAAAAATACACATAGAATCAAGCGAAATCGACAAACACTGCCATTATGCCAAAAATGCTGCTCAAAAAGCATTTAAATTACTACTTGATTAGAAAAATATGTTCTTTTTTTAATATATTTATTTGTTCAAAGGTGCGTGATTTTGTGAATAAGTGATTCTCACTACTGTCCAACTCTATTTTTATCAATTATTTACCTATCGATTTACACCTCGTGTTCCTGTTAGAAAGTACTTACAATTAATACAGAAAAATATAGTTGGGGACTTTTAGCATGCCGCGTCAATTAATAGGGGATACTCAAAAGCATTCTTAAAGCGAGGACTTTAACACGATGCTGTAATAAATGGTTGGGGAAAGAATACAACAATAATAAGCAATGGGTCAATGCGCAATAAGCCAATATTTAAAAAAAATATCGAAAGAGTTTTAGCCGAGTAAATTAATAAGTACAGATAAAACATCTTTTCAAAAATTAAAAAAGCTTTACGCACGACTCAAAACTTTTCATGAAAAAAATGTAAGTAAGTATTTTCGTCAAGTTTCATCATATTTTTTTTTCAATATTCAATTTGTTTTTTCTAGTCAATGAATGACAAATATTTGACAGTTACTTGTATAGTTATATACAACAAAATTGATATTTCTTTAAGAAGAACCCTTTTTGTATTGAATAAAGACGTATGATGAATCTTGAAATACTGTTTGTTACCATCCGTGAACCGTGAGGCAATAACAGGCCATGTAGAGTTTTTAAATACTCAAAAAAACGATTTTTTTTAAATATATATAAAAACTAGAGATCTTATGATCGGATACATATTTATGAACATACAAATATCATTAGTTTAAGTCGCAGTTTTTGATTCATGATATTTAAAGAGAAATTTATACACGCTATACTGTTACTGCCACACTTATTTTTATATAAAACGTAATTTTAAAATTAGGAAGAAAAATTCATTCACATTACAAGGTAAAAATCTTAAAACTAGAGGCAGCCAGTTTTCGATGAATGAAAATCACATTTAAATAACATTTAACTTGCAATTTGACATTTTAGAATGTGAGATTAAGATTTTAGCTGTGAAAAGGCTGAAACGTCTGGACTTTAACAGCAAATGGGTCGTAAGTGAAAGTGTGAGGTTATGTATGTTTCGAAGGAAAAAAGTTACCCAGCTTTGTGTATGCATATAAGTGCAAATGTACCGTACAGAATTGTACGTTTCCTGTTACAAAATATTCAGGGTGCTGGAGATATGGCCACGTACTTAAAGAATGCCCTACAAAAAACATTATGGACAAAATGCGGAGTTAAGTTGGATATCGGGATTGTTCAGTGTTCTGAACAACCCCGAACCTGAAGCTGCATTGTACTTGTGTAGTTTAGTGGAATGCTGCCAGTAAATCACACATGTACGAAATCTAAAATAATCATTTTTATAATTCTTAATTAAGTAGTTCAGTACTTGTTAGCTTGTTTCGATGGAGCTGCCATGTCATCGGACAAAAGCTCCTAAACAAAAAAGATAAAAAAAGCTATCATGTTCCTTAATTTTTTCATCCAATACTGTTTCAAGAAATAATATTCTAGGAAAAACCAGAATACAGATGAACTGAGTACATATTTGGATTTTATTGAAATGATTGAATGAAAATATTATTTTGTACAGCCCTTCACTCTACCTAGACATTTCACAAAATAACGAGTTTCCTTATTTGCCTACAATAGCACAAAATTACTTTCACTACGAAATGACTACATTCATTGCAACGAAAATAAAATGTGCCTCCAATCTAAAGATTTTTATAGTAAGAGAAAATTCACATGACTAATTTACATTCCACTGAAAGCAGTGACGCGTAAGAGTTTGTTTCAGAAACTTGGTCAATGTGAATTCCTTACTACCTAATATAACCGTTACGATTAAAAAGATAAATTTGATGGTGTCACACGAATTTGATCCATGAAACTGTACTTATCACATAAAAAACCAACAAACTTTACTTAAAAAAATGGCAATAAAAGGCAAACTTGATCTTGGAATGAACAATTTCTACCGTATGGAGACTTTTTCAGTAAATTTATAAATCCAAATAAAACCATCTAATAAATAGAACTTTATCGTTTCCAATTACTCAACTTTTGGAAGAGAACGATAAACACAATGGGAGCTAAAATAAAATAGATAAACTACTTTGTTTCTAAAGAATTCTATTAAAACCATTTTTCAATAAAATTCTCGAACAGAATATTGATCAAATTCTTGTGACCACTTTCAAATTATCCCCTCTAAGTGTACCGATTAAACAATAAACTTACCGGCGAAGCACCAGCGATCTGTTGCCTTGGCGAAGACCAGGAGAGATATAGCGGCGACTGCAGCTAAAACTGCAATGACTATCCCGACGATGGCCCCAGCTTCTAGCTCCACTCCTGATGGAATTACGTTGATTATCATCATCATCACCAACCTATTAATGTCTCTACTGATGGGGCACAGGCCTTCCCAATGGATGGAATAGGGCGATTGGGCCGTTACCTACCACGCGGGTCCGGTGCGGTTTGGTGGGTGCTAACGACTGCAGATGCAGCCGGGACCAAGGACTTAACGTGCCTTTCGAAGCACAGAGGAGCTCGCGATAATAAGTTTTTGGTTACCCATCCAAAGACCAACTATTGCGAAAGTTGCTCAACTTCTACTATCGCAAGTTGAACGCGCTATACACCTGCGCCATCGAACTCCTCATTAATCCCAATTAATCACGTGGTGGGTCATTATGGCCCATTTTCAAATCAACTGCTGCTGGGGGGCATTCATAATGGGATTGACAAGAGCCTACTATATAATATAGCATCCTGCTATATCTGGGAAATAAATACTATATTTAAATATATATATATATATATATATTGAAGGTGAAGCTACTATATATTGCGTAAACCGGAACGCAGCCTTACTCTTTTTAAAAGCCCTCACCTTTCTACACAATATTCAATATCACATAAAAATCATTTTAAAATAAATTTAATATTTTAACAGCATACTTAATATTTTATGAGGCTTCGAAAATACTATATTTGGTACAAAAAATGTTCAATGTGTACTGGACCCGCATGGTAGTTTAAGGCCATTTAAGGCCTTTTCACCCTATTTTATTCATAGGACTAGGGTTAGGCCTATGACCCAACAGTGGGGACTAATAGGCTGGTATAATTAATACCTTCTTATATGCTGGGCGTATGCATTCTCAATGAATAAAACATACTAGCACTGTTAGCACTACAAACACAATCTTGGACCTACGGCTTAATCATAAAGGGATGCTTGAAAACAAAATGGGACAGAACTTGCTAACATTTCTTTGAATCAAACAATAGTTTGGTTAAAAATATCTCTCACAGTTAACATACGTACTAATTGAAATACACTACATGCTTTACATACGATTGTTTTGTAATAAATTTACCAAAAAATTTTTTCTGACTCATAAAATTCTAGGGAATCATGCTTGTTGTAAAATAAAAAACAAAAAAGGGCAGGGAATTGGGATGGCATAAAAAAAATCTTGAGCATGCTATTTTTTAAATTAATATACAGGTTGTTGAAGAATAATTAATTATTTACATGTATTTTTCTAAAATTCATCCGCCTCTTTCTAAAACGCAGACTAAAATTAGTCTTAGTTTAAACCTTATGTTGCCGCAGTCTTCTTATTAGCAAACAAATGTGTCAGCATCGGTTTTAGCTTTAATCTAAGTTTTGTAATAAGGCGGCAGAGGTACTTATTTTTTTTTAATAAAACACTTGTGTGAAGCATCTCACAAAGATTGTTTAAGGATTTTATTTTTTTAATATTTTTTTTTGTAATTCAACAATTCCTTGAACACCTGTATATTAAAAAAAACATTATTTATACGCATTCGAGCAAACTGTATGATATGCATTTACTAAGTATCCATAATTTCTGACAGCGCATTCTAGAGACATAATCTAATCAATAAAGAGTAGGGTAACTACCATGGATGCGATCACTTAATCAATAATACTTAACCGTCACAAAAAAAAGTTAAAGCAAAGGAGATAAGACTTCAAAACAGCATCGAAAACACAGAAATATCTAACTATTATAAAATTTTACTATTGTTCTTTTAAAATCGACACACATAAATAAAAACATTTAATTTTAACATTCAATAATCCAGGCATAAGTTCGTTCCCGTAAAATCTTGTCATCTCTTACCGTACATATCGAATATCAAGAAGGATGACTTGGCTTTGCGCGCTGTTGGAAAGATAATTATACTATAAATTCCTATAATCTGGGATCCTTTAAGAGAGGCGTGAAGAAGCACTTTTGCAGGCCGGCAAGGTGAAGATGGTTGGTGTAACAGTTTATAACTGTTGTACCAGCTATCTTCGCGATTGGACTTTATCACCACTTAACATCAGGTGGGGTAGAATTATTTTCATACCTAGCTATAAAAAAATAAAATAAAAATCAATTAACAATGAATCAAAGCAGCTTTTAATAAGTCAACATGAATAAAGTTTATTTGAAATTCAATTCAATACCCAACAAAAACGCAGTCATTATTTTCAATAAACCAAAATCAATATTTAACCCCAATTTTATACATAATTATCCTATTTGTTATTTTTCCTCCACTTCGGTATAGACATATAGTTTTTGTTCTCGAGCTTGAATTTTACATAAAAAAACATCTGTGAAAAAATATCTAAATGATAACTGATGGTTATGATCATTTATAGTATAAAAATATAGATAATATTATTATGTCGCAGTTACCATGTGAATTTTGACAAATTGTGTATGGACAATTTTTTTTTGCCTACATCCTTCTCATTCTTAATTCATTGTAGGTTTTTAGTCATCTACTTATTAAATTGTCTTTGTTTTGTATACTTATTCCAGAGTTATAAAAACACTAAAATATCGATAATATCGCGTTAGCATGTTTGATATATTGAATATCAATATTTATTGATTTCGATTTCAATATCGATGTACGAGTATATGTTAGGGATGATGACGGGGTACAGTAAAAGAAATTCAATTTAGTCCGTCAGTTAGATGATCAAAAAATAATGGACATGTATTTTTTCTTTGGGCAATCAACCAAAAAATGACATAGTTATAGCGCGTCAAAGTTCGGGAGTAGGGGCTCGTGACGTCACTTTTTAGTGAATTTTCACTTAAAATTGTACCAAAACGTGACGTCATGCGACTTTTCAAATCAATATATCTCTGCAATGTTTATATTATGTGAAAAAAGAAAAAATACGTGTCCAATACTTTTCAATAATCTACCTGATAAACAAAGAAAATAAAATTGTCATCATCCCTAAGCATCGCTACTCATAGGAAATAAAGAAAGGATCCATTCTTTTCTCAATACAACTGCCCGATTTTGTACCTCAAGTATTATCATGCATTTATATGTAGAAAAATACGCCGAAGTCATCCAAAATATAAATGGAGTTTATTACGCACATGTACGAAATAAAAATGTCTTTCAAACATTTAAATTGATAGCAACACAGATATATTATGGTAAATGTGCATCTTTAAGGTTAATAACAAATAGCTACGGAAACCACGATTTTTGATGCAACCAGTCACAATGAAGCAACTGAATTTAAATCAATAACATTAGCTGTTTCCGCCATCTGAATATGTCATCTCTATGTCGTCACGTATGGGTTAATAAAAATGTCAATCATTCTGTCTTCTGTATTAGCTGTGTGTCATCTGTCATTCAATGACAAATTGTGTCTGAGTAATAACGTTTCTTTGTACGCAGATTTTATCCCGTTTCTTTATCCCCATTTTAATTCCGATTTTCAGAAACTTTTATTGAATTTATTAAAGATTTTTATGAGTTTAAGTATAATTTTAGATGTTTTGGAGATGAAGATAATTTGTACCAAGGCACAAAATTGGGCAAAAATCGAATGTCTCCTTTATCATAATTTTTATCTCTCTTTACAAAACGAATTGACTATTAAATTATTATTTTTACCTATTTTTCTCTCATTTTACTACACAATTTAATTTATTTTTACACATTTTTTGCATCAAAATATTTACAAATTGTCTCTTAAGTACTAGGTACTTATTAATCATATTTTTACTATCCTTCTGAAAAACTCTTTCCTAATTTTGCCCGCATCCTTGGCTGACAAATAGCAGCCTCGAGTACGGGCAGAGTTTTATTAAATTATTAAAGCAATATTAAATTTATTACTGTTATTTTTTATTACTTACCAGCCGGCTCGTCCATGGTGCTTATAAGTACAGTGAACTCCTCAGCTCCTAGATCGTTCGAAGCACGTAAGTAATATTTGCGGTCCACATCTTCTTTAGTGATGTGTGGTAAGAACAGGGTAAGATTGTAGAAACCGCCGCCCTGAAGGATAAAAAAAAAATATTTAAAAAAAAACATACAATAAAATAATAATAGACTATTATATATTTTTTTAACATATAACTGCTACATGTTTTTTCTAAAGAAAATTTAAGTAGAAAAAATTCTACGCGGTCCAGGCAGCAGACGGGACTCGAACCCGCACCCTTCGCTATTCGGGCGAATGCACTGACCATTATGCTACTTCGGTTCTGATGGCCGTGTCGATTTTTTGTCTTATTCTCTTAGTCATTTATTCTCTTTTAAAATGCAAAAAGATAGCGCTGCTTTGCAGTTAATGAAAGGCTAGAGAAAATTCGACACGGCCATCAGGGCCGCGGGTGCTGGTTCACGTCTGCTGCCTGGTCCGCGTGGAGTTATTAAAAATTAGAAATTAAAATTTTTATTTAGACTATTATATTTTTATTTCAAGCATTCAACTGCTAGATAGTCGAATTTAAAGAAAAAGAGTTTTCCTAGAAATCGTGGTTATTGCGTTCGACGGATGACGTAAGTTTCGAGTCCCGTCTAAAACCTGCACTGTGTGGAATATTTTTCAAGTAAAATTTTCTTTAGATTAGATATAAGTATAATCATCATTTTTATAAGTGCAGGAAAAACCTTGTAAAAAGTTTGTGACATCACACAGACGTGTCCAATCAAAACGCGGTTTCCCCTTCCCGCACGCCGTCAAATTAGGCGATTTATTACACTTTAAAATAAAATTTAATCTGCAATCTAAAATATTTAGTCACTCACCAAAGCCACAGGTTCCAGTGCAGTCACCATGGTAGGATTGACTTCATGACTCGGCATTATAGTGGCGTCTCCGTATCTCCACTCGGGTACAGGCTCCGGGGAGGCGCGCACGGTGACGTTGAGGCGCCCCTCCGCGCCCAGCTTGAGGCCGAATATGGTGATCATACCCGACTCTTGACGTTTGGGCGGGTCTGGAACAATTTCGGATTTTATTTTTAAGCATTTAACTGCTAGATGCTTAAATCTAAAGAAAAGTTTACTAGAAAAAAAAATCCACGCGGACCAGGCAGCGGACGGGACTCGAACCCGCATCCTTCGCAATCCGGGCGAATGCACTGACCAATTATGCTACCACGGCCCTATTAGCCGCGTCGAAATTTTCCTAGCCCTAAGCTGCAAGACAGCGCCATCTCTTCGCATTGTAGGTAACCCACAATTAAGTATTTTTTTCGAGTAAACTTTTCTTTAGATTTAAACATCTAGCAGTTAAATGCTTAAAAATAAATAAAATCATAACTATAATTGCTATTTCTTCTTTCAAATGTTTAATACTTGAAAAAGTATTCATTTGACATTGTGGGTTACCTAGAATGTGAAGAGATGGCGCTGCCTTGCAGCTTAAGGCTAGGAAAATTTCGACGCGGCTAATAGGGCCGTGGTAGCATAATGGTCAGTGCATTCGCCCGGATTGCGAAAGATGCGGGTTCGAGTCCCGTCCGCTGCCTGGTCCGCGTGGATTTTTTTCTAGTAAACTTTTCTTTAGAATATAATTTTAATTCAAAACAAGATAATTTTCCATCATTTGAGAAGACGGTATCTTCGTTTATGGGAAAATGCATTGTACCTTACAATAAATTATTTATTTATTGAAGTCAAAACTTCTTTAGCGGCGTTGTACACTTTTTTTTGTATGGGTAAAAATGGTAAGCTAGCGTCAGGTTAAACACGTGGGCTGATCGCATCATGACACACAATAATATTGGAAAGGTTGTTGACTTTCAATATATTGGACGAAACATAGTAATATTTTATTTTACCGTATTATAATAATAAGTCTCTATCTAGGACGTCCACGTGGCAGCTTTATTGCGAAGAAAATGCATTTTTTTACAATAGATGTCGCTAGGTGATTCATGTAAGTTGATTTTTCTGAGAGATAAACTTTTTTAATGCAATATAAATTGTCATGTTTTTGTACGATAGCGCAATAAATAAATATTGTATTCTACCACATACATGATAGTACTTTTATGCTGATAATTAAAGCAATTCGTGCAAAATTATTCCCCAACCATTCCAAAATATCAAAAATGCACAACGATAATATTCAAGTTTTAACTTCTGCCGCCGGCACTCCCGTCGTTTAATTTTTTAAATTTTTAACAAAAGCTTACCAACTATACACATATACGGCATTCGCACGTTATGAAATAAAATCATTAGTTATTTATATGTGTCTAAATTATAGGTATGCACAACATTCAAAACTATAAATTGAATCATCAAATAACATACTTAAAACATCTAGTAGGAAATATCAATAATTTCTATAAACAGATACTGTAAAACGCCACTTAAAAGCTTTTTGTGTAATAAAGATAAATGTTTCTTTTTAAAGCACCTAAACTATCGTTAAAAAAATATAAATATCACAGTTTTCTGACAATTCATTATAACTTAATAGCAGAAACTTTTGTAGAACCGCCAATTCTTAAATTTAAAGCTCATAGTAAAAGTATCCTAATGAAAACAAGGGCTACTATAAAGTTGAATATTATATCAAAGATAAACTTATAATTTTTATTTTCTAAGCATGTAACTGCTTGATTTTTATATCTAAATCAAATATAACTAGAAAAAAATCCACTCGGACCAGGCAGCAGACAGGACTCGAACCCGCATCCTTCGCAATCCGGGCTAATGCACTGACCAATTATGCTACCGCATCCCTGACGGCCGCGTTGAATTTTTTCTAGCCATTCTTAAGCTGCAAGGCAGCGCCATCCCTTCGCATTGTAGGTAACCCAAAATACAAAAATAAAAATTATTATAATTGCTATTTCTTCTTTCAAATGTTAAATACTTGTAAAAGTATTCATTTGACATTGTGGGTTACCTACAATGCGAGGAGATGGCTTTTTTTTTATGTTATAGGTGGCATACGAGCAGACGGCTCACCTGATGGTAAGTGATCACCGTCGCCCATGGACCTTGATGGACACCAGGAGTATCACAATACGATGCCGGCCTTTAAGGAAGGAGTACGCTCTTTTTTTGAAGGTTTTTGGTACCGGTCCGGAAACACTGCTGGCGACAATATATTCCACAGTTTTGTCGTACGTGGTAAAAAATTTCGACAAAAACGCACGGTTGTGGATAGCCACGCATCAAGATGATGGGGATGAAATTTTTGTCGCGATGTACGATGGCGAAATGCAGCAGCTGGAATTAATCCGAACAATTCCTCAGAACACTCCCCGTGATAAATGCGTAGAAGATGCAGAGCGAAGCTACATCCCTACGCAAAGCCAAAGGATCGAGCTGATCGGAAAGGTCCTGGTCGTCGACGATTCGAGCCGCTCGGCGCTGGATGCGATCCAAAGGGAGAAGCCGGTACTGGGGTGCGTTTGACAGCTTACTCCCCAAGTCAAGCGTGCGTAAAGAAGTTTGACTTCAAAAGCAAATAATACTCACAATGCACAATAAGTTGTCTCTTAGCTTCCTTAGGCTGGTCTAAAGCCTCGTGCTCAGCTCTGCAAGCCAAGGTTTTCCCTGCCTCATCAGCGGTCAATGGTAGAGTGATGTTTTGGGAGATGGTCTGCAGGTCGCCCTCCGTGGTCACGATGGGTTGGTGGATGCCGCGGAGGATCTGGTCTTCGTCTACGGAAATATGTAAAAAAATATGTAATTTTTTCCTGCATCCACACCAATAGGATATTTGACAGTAAGTATACGTTATTCCGGTCAAGTGGACCTGAGAAATTTATTGTAGTGTTAACTACCTCACAAAAAAGCTTAGCGAAAGAGCTTCCAAGATACATTTCGTGTCAAACACTCCAAGAAACATTGGAATGCGTCACACCGACATTCTAATGTAAAAAAAGGAAGATTAATAAAACTGCACACTAGGCTGTATATGAGTTCCCTTTGCCTTCTCTGAAAAGGGAGTATGTTTAAAAAGCAATTTTATATGTCTGTGGTTTTACTCAAGAATTTTGCCGCTACAGTGCGACCAAGATCTTTGGCGAGTGGTTCAAATCGTTTTATTTAATTATTTATTCTTAATTGAAAAAAAAAATAGCAATTGGCGGACATAATGCCATAAGGTATTCTCCACCAGTCTACCAATAAGAGCGTGAGAAAGAAAAATAAGGGGGTGCAATAAAGACATATGCTAAATAAACCAGGTGATATATCTTATATATAAAATTCTCGTGTCACAACGTTAGTTACCATACTCCTCCGGTACGGCTTGACCGATTTTTATGAAATTTTAAATGCATATTATGCGTAGTGTTCTCATATGGGTTAGGAGGAATGTTATCCCACCCCTAAAATATTTTTTGGACAATATTTATTTTTTTGTAATTTGCTATTAAAAAATACATACAACCCTACATTTTCTCTTCTACCTCCTGCCCCTATTTTTATGGCGGTACGAAGTTCGCTGGGTCAGCTAGTATATCAATAGAATACACAAATATTAACGTATGTAATAGACTTGCAACGAATAGTATATTCGGCAGTATACCGAATGCCGAATATTCGGCGAGGCCCCTGACCCGAATAGCCGAATATTAAGCAAAAGTATTCGACTGGATTTTAGCGCCAAAATCTTGTACAGACATGATTGTTTCGCGCTCCTTTGTTTTGTTCTAATCTGCCGTCCTCAAGCTAAAATGCGGCTAAATGACAAAACCAACTTTTAAGATATGGCCAAAAACGGCGCGTAAACTTTAAATTATTGCTATTAAGTAACCATTCATCACATGACTGAATGAATTAAAAACTGTTAACTTGTTTAATACAGAAAATGATTAAATTATGTACCTGTTTTATGTACCTATGACTACTTAATAAATGATTATAAAAGAAATGAGAACCTTGCCCTTCTAAATTTTGATTACCACAATAATTCAAATACATAGAATCCTCCATTTTTCCAATTCAGAAGATGATTATGTACCAATGACTACTTAAATGATTATATAACAGAAATGAAAATATGAATAATATATCCGTAATCAATCGATTTAAATTTTTCATTTTACCAATTATTTCTCTATGACAAAATATATTAATTAAGTATTCGGTATTCGGCCAAATAATATGTAGATATTCGGTATTCGGCCGAATACAATAAAAGCAGCCGAATAGGCCGAATACCGAATAGTAAACGAATATTCGTTGCAAGTCTATTGGTAACTAACATTGTGACACGAGAATCTCTTATCTATTAGACAAGTCCGTCTGTCTGTGGTGCTGTTTCAGCGGCCAAACCGTAAGAGATAGATAAAGAGAATATTTAAGTTTTAAGTTAAGAATAGTCTGATAAGACTACAAACCGGATTTGAGTAACGTAGCACTTCCGGTTTTCGAGAAATCAGGTTTTGGTGAACATTTGGTTCACTGGTTTGCTAGTTTTATATATAAGACTAGCAAACCCAGCGAACTCCGTTTCGCCACCAGATCTTCGTTTTATGTAACATTTCGTTTTGTGATTAAAAGAAAACGATTTTTTTTTAAATTGTTCCTGAATTTTCTTTGCTATAAACCTCACGGAGCCCGAGACCTTTCCAACGAATGCAAAACCGTGGAAATCGGTTCGTGCGTTCTGGAGTTATAGCGTCAGGAAGGAAAACCCGACTTATTTTTATATAGTAGATTAAGATATAAAAGTTGATGATAAAAAGGAGACTTACCTAAGAACCAGGTGATTCTAGCAGCTGGCCGGCCGTCGGCGACCACACATTGAGCGCGGAACTCATCTCCTTCCCTGAACGCGGGCTGCGGAGACGACCTCAGCTGCGGAGCCACCGGGGACCCTGCGGTCAGACATTTATTTATTTAAAGGTGTACTTACAGCTAAACATATTAAAACATTAAAAAATTAAAATAATACTTATTCTAAGACATATATGCAAGCCTTTACAAGCACACACAACATTCAATTCAGAAAAGTACAATGTAATTAATAATCAATAATAATAAATGGAATTAATAATCAATAATCAATGACAATCATGACATTCAATATTAGCGGGCACGGACCAATTCATAATGGCTGATGTGGTACTTAATTATTTTTATGTTTTTATTTATTTTTAAGCATTTAACTGCTAGATGTTTAAATCTAAAGAAAAGTTTACTAGAAAAAAATCCACGCGGACCAGGCACTGGACGGGACTCGAACCCGCACCCTTCGCAAACCGGGCGAATGCACTGACCATTATGCTACCACGGCCCTATTAGCCGCGTCGAAATTTTCCTAGCCTTAAGCTGGAGGCAGCGCCATCTCTTCGCATTGTAGGTAACCCACAATGTCAAATGAATACTTTTTCAAGTATTAAACATTTTAAAGAAGTTTTTTTTTTACACACCAATTAGCCTAGCCCCAAAGTAAGCACTGTAAAGGCTTGTGTTATGGGATACTAGGGTAACGGATAGAATACATATATAAGTATATTTATATGAAATACATATAAAACATCCATGACTGGATTACAAATGCTCGTATTCATCACACAAACATCTGCCCCCACCGGGATTCGAGCCCGGGACCTCTCGAATCGGTGACGCCATGAAACCCGGCGTGTAAACCACTCGACCACGGAGGTCGTCAAAAAAAAATCCATTAGCTGTAGTTGAATTTCGGGGTAGTTTTGACGAAAACAAACACAAAATTGCAGTATATCTGTAATTTTAACAATAGTACCAACATAATAAACATATTTTTACCACAGACAACGAGAAACATGTTATTTTTGCATGAAAAAATGGCAGCACTGATCAAAATGGCTGCAAAAATTTACTTTAAGCTACAAAAATATTAATTTGCAATTTTTTTTTCTCGAGTTCTATTCGTTTCCGTCAAAAAAGATTTCGTGTACGTGTTTCTAATAATTATTAATAATGCGTGACAAAAATTTCAGCTCGCTACACAACCACAACTAATGGAAAGCTGAGCCGCTATGTTACCAAAGCTATTGAAGGCGTATACTTTTTGTCAAAATTCTATTCAGAATTAAAAAAAAACACTTATTCAATTTAGGCTGTTACAAGCACATGTGAAAGTCGAAAACCACGCCATCGGTTCGCAAAACTACGGCGGGAGACCTTTGTACTGAGAAGAACCGGCAAGAAACTCAGCAAGGGCTGCTTTTTTCTCCCTGTTTTATTTCATACAGTGTCGTCAAATTGAAAGCTGACATCAAACTTGCAAACATGTGTTGAGGTCAACTTCCATCACGTAATGTCAAATAGGTAACAATAAACAATCAACGAATTTATTAACAATAAGTGTAAATATGTCGTTTCTCAATTAATAAGCTAAAAATTAACGATTCGCGTTAATTTTTTTGCCTAAACAGTAGGACACGGCACTCCTAAACTTTGTTAAACCAGTTTTTTATATATTTTTTGACGTGACAACGTCTTAAATTAGGTTGCGGCTGGGAGTCACTTATGAAAAAGTGTAACGCTCGGTAACGTTACGATGAGTCTCTCGTGTTAAGTTTAAGTTTACATGTACAATGTTTTAGTAAACAAAATATATTTCTATAGTTAAAATTTGTGCAATTCTTATTTTCATTCAATTCCTTGTTCCTATTGTGCAATTTAATTATATTCATATCAATAAATATTCTACCGAGAAAAAGACGTTGTCACGTAAAATCTTCGCCCGTAAAACCGACTTTACAGGCAACCATTTTTTTTATAACCATAATTTTATATTATTTTTGCATTGGTACTGGAAAGTGACTTTATGAGTTACCTCATATTGAAGTCATTTTTCAAGTTGACCACTCTGTATTTAATACAGAAAGAAAAAAACAGCCCTTGCTGAGTTTCTTGCCGGTTCTTCTCAGTACAAGGTCTCCCGCCGTAGATTTGCGAACCGATGGCGTAGCTTTTCGACATTCACAAGTGCTTGTAACAGCCTAGACTGAATAAACGATATTGAATTTTGAATTTTATATCCACTCACTGGCAACAACAAGCCGCATTGACGCCTGCACTTCAATGTTGCCCGTCTGCGGCGGCAACACGCAGGTGATGTTGCCGTTCCAATCTTCGCGGATGTTCTTGATGGTGGCCCCACATTCGCCGAACTGTAAGCAATTTAATGAACATTTTCAACACTCACATTAAGTAGCCCCTAAGTAAGTATAAATACATGAAGTACACTTCTAAAGAGAATATAACTAGAAAAAATACACGCGGACCGGGCAGCAGACGGGACTCGAACCCGCACCCTTCGCTATCCGGGCGAATAATAATAATAATAATTTATCTATTTAAATAAAACTCAAAGGTGACTGACTGACTGCATAATGATCTATCAACGCACAGCCCAAACCACTGGACGGATCCGGCTGAAATTTGGCATGCAGGTGGATGTTATGACGTAGGCATCCGCTAAGAAAGGATATTGATCAATTCTACCCACAAGGGGATGAAATAGGGAATGAAAGTTTGTATGAAACATTGTCAATTTTAAACCGATCGGGCTGAGACTTTGCATGCAGGTATAAGAAGAATCATAGATGAATGTCATTGTGTATAATACAAGCCTGAGAACAAAAACTGTAGTCTACACTTCAGCTCTACACCGAAGCGAAGCAAGGGCGGGCCGCTAGTTTCCAATAAGAGGTGATTTACAATTTAACTTATAAGGCTAGAACTACTAATATCTCTAAAATAACTACATATTTATCTGCTGCCGAGCTAGGAAAAATGCCTGTATTACGGCATACAGCGCCAATCCCCTTAGCACATGTGGCATCATAAATCCATTACATTCAAAAAATGCACTGATCATTATTCTACCGTGGCCCTGAAGGCTGTGTCAAATTCCTTCTAGCCTTTCTTAAGCTGCAAAGCAGCGCCATTTCTTCGCACACGAGCAGTTACATGCTTAAAAAAATATAAATACAATTCTATGTTCAGTGCGAGCAATTTATATGTTGTTATTGGTAATAATAATAGTTTAAAGAGCTCGATGGCGTAAGTGGTCAACGATTTCAACTGCGATCGTTGAAGCTAAGCAACTTTCGTAGTTCATTGACCGACCGGTCATTGAATGGGTGACCAAATACTTTAATCTCTTACTCTTCTTTGCGTCGTAAGGCTCGTAAAGCCGTCGGTCCCGGCTGCATCAGCAGGCGTTAGCACCCACCAATCTGGTGTGTCATGGTTCGATCTCACTATTCCATCCATACGGAGAGATAGGGAAGCCTGTGGCCCAGCAGTGGGGACATTAATATGAATGCTGATGATGTTTGCTCTCACCTGTAATCCTTGACCAAAGTACACCACCTCCCCATCCTGCTGGCTTGGTATCAGTCGATAAGGCGTATTGCCCACTGTCATTCTGAAAATAATAAACAGAAGAAAATATTTAGAAAAATACTGTTTTATTGCCTACTATCATTCTGAAAATAATTAACAAAAGAAAATATTTAGAAAAGTACTGTTTATTGCCCACTGTCATTCTGAAAATAATATACAAAAGGAAATATTTAGAAAAATACTGTTTATTGCCCACTATCATTCTGAAAATAATATACAAAAGGAAATATTTAAGAAAATACTGTTTTATTGCCTACTGTCATTCTGAAAATTGTAAACAGGTTTTTTTTGAAAAATACTATTTAAGTGTGTTGCGTACGGAAGCATTTGTGACAATCGTAATGCTGGCAAACTACACCGCAAATATAATTATTTTTGAATTAAATTAATCATAATAATCATAGATATCTTAAAAAAACATATGTATGTTTTAAAAAAAATTAAGAGAATTTGACGGATTATGAACTCGTAATATTTTTGTAATGTTAAGGGCAACTGTTTGGATCTATGACGTAACTTGTGATTGTAATCAACATAAAAATACAACTAAATATACATCTTTTATTAAACTGTAAAAGAACGCCTAATGGCATTAATTCCGCCACTTGTACACTTATTTGTGCATTTAAGTTTAAAATAATAAATAAATAAATTACATAAACTAAAAAAAAAGAATAAGGCATGTATCTTATATACGGTTTAAATAGTCTTTCCATTTACAAAATTTACGCATATTTGACGCATTTCATCATTACCATAGGATTTTTCCATATACAACCCGTCCTAAAAGAAGTTCACGTTTCACTTCAAAAAAAAACAAAAATGTTCAAACTAAACAGTACAACATCATCCACACATAGACATAAAAATATATGTTCCGTCTTCCAACAAGTTTACTTTAACAGCAACTCGCAAAGTGCATTAAATAAAATTCCCCACAGCCTTGTACTTATTACGGCGAACTTGGCATAGCTGCAGGGCACCATTACTAAGATGGAGCCTGTTGCAACAAAATGGAGTACAGAAGGTAATCTTGTGTATGTACTTAAGTTTGCATACCTACGTTCGGCGGTGGCGATATGGCGCGGCGTTGGGACTGTTTTTTTTTTATGTTATTATATTTGCATACGAGCAGACGGCTCACCTGATGGTTAGTGATCACCGTCGCCCATTGTGTTTTATTTTTATTTTCATTGCCCATTTTTATGATTTACTGTCGAGAATATAACAGGAAAAACAGAAATATAAACCAATAATGACTAAAATATTTAAATTTTAATATGTTTGTTATATTACAAATAAAGAAAAATGTCAATTCACCGTTTTATTATAGTCATCATCATCATCAGCCTATTAATGTCCCCACTTCTGGGGAACAGGATTTCCCTATGGATGGAATAGGGAGATTGGGCCATGACCCACCACGCGGGCCCAGTGCGGATTGGTGGGTGCTAACGACTGCAGATGCAGCCGGGACCAACGACTTAACGTGCCTTCCGAAGCACGGAGGAGCTCGAGATAGTAATTTTTAATCACCCATCCAATGACTGACCACTGCGAAAGTTGCTTAGTTCAACGATCGCAGCCGAACGCGCTAACCACTTGAGCCATCGAGCTCCTTTTATTATAGTAATTTATGCTATTTAGGGGATTGTTACCATGTACCGTGTTTTTAGGGAGTTTCTGATATTTGAAATGAAATGAAATGGAACCATTATTGGCCACATTAATAAAAGAAAAACTTATAAATACAACAATAAAAGAAAAATAATACAAGAAAATTTAACCAACAAACAAAAAAGGACATAATAATTTAAGATGGCCAATCAGGACCCTGCTTCAGATGCTGACACAGTGAGAAAGTACTTTCTTCCTGAATCAGCGCTGGTATTCTGGCAGGACATGAACGAGGTTGTTAAAACCAACTAAATTAACCATGAGAAGTGTATCCCACAAAATAATATTTCATCACTGTTGCAAGCGCCATATGTTATTCCAGCTGTGAACATTTTTGCTGGCCTTTGGCTGTTTAATGTACCTCTATAAATAAATAAATAAATGATCACGAAGTAAACTGAAGTAATTGCGGGTAGGCTGTTCTTGACAGACATATCAGTCTACCCTCCAACGAAATCTTTAATTGCGTTCGATACCCGTACCACTGATAACATTCTCACTATTCACTCGAAACTATTCTCGACACACAATCCCACAGTATCGGATCGCGACACGACACTTTTTTGATTATCATGGTTTTTACACATACGTACCACAGGATTCCAGATACTAATAATCCCGTACATAACATCTCTTATCTAATAGACAAGTCCGTCCGTCCGTCCGTGGTGCTGTTTCAGTGGCCAAACCGTAAGAGATAGATATAGAGAATGTTTAAGTTATAAGTTAAGAATAGTCTGACAAGACTACAAACCGGATGTGAGCAACGTAGCACTTCCGGTTTTCGAGAAATCACGTGATTTATATTTTAAACGAAACCACACAAATTCTCCGAAGTTCTCAATTAATTAAATACATTTTTTTTTTGGTGAACATTTGGTTCACTGGTTTGCTAGTACATTACTATAATGTTAGTGACCATGAAAGTTGAAAACTATATATTACTGTTATAATTTTTATTATTTTAAAGCATGTAACTGCTTGATGTTTAAATCTAAAGAAAATATAACTAGAAAAAAATCCACGCGGACCAGGCAGCAGACGGGACTCGAACCCGCACCCTTCGCAATCCGGGCGAATGCACTGACCAATTATGCTACCGCGGCCCTGCAGCTTAAGAATGGCTAGAAGAATTTCGACGCGGTCCGTATCGGATGGCAAAGGGTGGGGGTTTGAATCCCGTCTGCTGTCTGGTCCGCGTGGAATTTTTTCTAGTTATATTTTCTCTATATATTACTGTTTTATGTTGAATTAAAACGACCCTCTACTGAACAGATATAATAACTTTATTTGTTGCTTCATTTTTGCACAAAAAAGATCACATACGCGTCTCATGAGGATGGAACTCGCGCTCGCAATGGTCCCACTTGGTCCGAGATATCGTGTCCGTGAGCGGTGTCTATGTTATACGTTGCTCGAACGCACGTTGTATGTAGACTACCTTCAGTATTGTCTTATTTTGTACTGTTACACTTGCTTTTCTTTCATCCAAAGTCGTGAGTGCCAATACCAATATTTTGAAGCGAATTTGTTCGGTAAAAGCTATTGGCTAAAGGAAAAACTTAGTTTTGTTTTATGACGCAGAAAATCAGTTTTTGGCTGAACCTTTTCACAGATCGAAATTGTAATTTATTTTTGTTGCCATTTTCTTAAACAAACAATTTTACAATGTATGTTTACAAACAGACCTAAAATACCATTAATTGATATAAAATTATTGAAGTGAAAACTTCTTTAGCGGCGTTGTACACTTTTTTTGTATGGGTGAAAAATGTTAAACTCGCGTCAGGTTAAACACGTGGGCTGATCGCATCATGACACACAATAAAATTGGAAAGGTTGTTGACTTTCAATATATTGGACGAAACATATTAATATTTCATTTTATCGTATTATAATAATAAGTCTCTATCTAGGACGTCCACGTGGCAGCTTTATTGCGATGAAAATGCATTTTTTTTTACAATAGATGTCGCTAGGTGCGCTTAAATGTGATTCATGTAAGTTGATTTCTCTACCATAGATGTCGCTAAGTGCGCTTAAACGTGATTCATGTAAGTTGATTTTTCTGAGAGATACACTTTTTTAATGTTATATAAATTGTCATGTTTGTGTACGATAGCGCAATAAATAAATATTGTATTCTACCACATACATTATAGTACTTTTATACTGATAATTAAAGAAATTCGTGCAAAATTATTCCCTAACCATTCCAAAATATCAAAAATACACAACGTTAATATTCAAGTTTTCACTTCTGCCGGCACTCCCGGAGTGCAACCCAGTGGGCACTTTGGGCAAGTGCCCAGGGCCCCGTGATCGAAAGGGCCCCCCCTCAGATCAAATACAAAGTCCCTAGTTCCTGTTAAATCACCAAACGGAAGTCACAGGGGCCCCATTATCCTAATATGCCCAGGGCCTCCAGTAGGTCAAAGACGGCATTGATTGCGAGAGGTGCCTTACCATCTCGAGAATCGAAATCCTCCGCGCTTCCGAGGACACGTTAAGCCGTTGGTCCTGGCTGTATTTCTTATCGGTTTAAGCACCTAACAATCTGCACTGGGCTTGCGTGGTTGTCCCCCTGTTCCATCCATAGAGAAGACCAAAAAACCACCTACATTTCTTGCCTAATTAATATTTATTGGTTAGAACCTTCTATAGTATGTATGTAAGAGTTTTTGTTGAAATGTAGCGCCCTTGCAATCTAAAATTTTAATGTGATTAATTATAATTATATGCATTTTAAATCTAAAGAAAAGTTTACTAGAAAAAAAATCCACGCGGACCAGGCAGCGGACGGGACTCGAACCCGCACCCTAAGCTATCCGGGCGAATGCACTGACCATTATGCTACCACGGCCCTATTCGCCGCGTCGAAATTTTCCTAGCCTTAAGCTGCAAGGCAGCGCCATCTCTTCGCATTGTAGGTAATCCACAATGTCAAATGAAATTTTTTTTAGTAAACTTTTCTTTAGATTTAAACATCTAGCAGTTAAATGCTTAAAAATAAATAAAACAAAATATGTGCATTTTGTTTATTTTATGTATATTGATGTTGTAGTGCCATTACAGGGTTCATGATTGGATCTGATTCTAAATCTTAAGAACTTGTAATTACCACATGAAACAATAAATATATTGAATTGAATTAATATCTTCTCATTATTTCGTTCAAGCAAGACAGTTTCAAATCTTTGTAACTATTTATTTAACATATTTGTACACAGCGGTAACCTTTGTTACCATTCCTACGTCTCGGAATTTAACCTCCACTTTAGAGAAGACCTCAGTAAAATAACATTATATTAGTTGGTGTAGTGAGGAGCTCGATGGCACAAATGGTTAGCGCGTTCGGCTGCGATCGTTGAAGTTAAGCAACTTTCGCAGTGGTCAGTCATTGGATGGGTGACCAAAAATTTACTATCTCGAGCTCCTCCGTGCTTCGGAAGGCACGTTAAGCCGTTAGTCCCGGCTGCATCTGCAGTGGTGGGTCAAGGCCAAAACTCCCTATTCCATTCATAGGGAAGGCCTGTGCCCCAGCAGTATGGACATTAATATACTGATGATGATGATGAGGTGGTGTTGTATTTCTGTCGGTGAGTAGGGTTCCAGGACTCTACGAGGTAGGGGATTGGGTCAGGGTAGGCCATGATGCCAGTGATATTTCTGGTATCGTAAGCGTCTATGGTGGCGGACCATGTTTGTCACCCTTTAAATATAAAATAGATTAGTTGTCTGTAAAATCGATTAACGGACGACAGTTTTACGTGATACCGCCATAAAGAAACATTGATGAAAAAGTGCATAATAGCTAACTCTGACGGCACGCGAGAAGACATGTGTATAAAGCGATTCAAATTAAGAATAGGACCAACTGGGCGCCATATTGTGATGTCATAGCTGTCAATTCAAACAAAATAGGTAGAGTGAGCAAAAAAAATTTTTATTTACTAAAACTTATTAACTAATACTAAGATTAGGTGAGAAAAAACATCAGATTTTTTAATAAAATTATTTATTAAGTTAAGAGGAAAAAACCAACCGATTTTTAATAATATTTATTAATTAAGACTGTGTGAGAAAAAACATTAAACAGAATCTAGCTCTTCAATTCCGCTCATCTCTGCATTACAGCCGGAGTAGTTATGAATAGTCATGTATTATGGCTAGGTCACATACGAACATGCATCCTTTATGTAAACGAAAGTTTAGATCGAGTTTATGAACGCAACTTAAAGTGACATTTGGTTGACATATTATTAAATATTTAACAATATTAATCATTAATATTTGTTATTGTTTGTTTACAAATGTTTCGTTTTTATTCTAGAATTAGCTGAGTGCTAATAAAGGGCTCCAAGATTTTTCTGCAAACCGTACTTTTCAAGCGACATTTGACAGATGGAGGTCATTGGCTTTCCTATTCTTATTTGAATCGCCGATCGTGCCTCTCTATCGCTCCTTCCGCGCTCTCGCTTACACGCTCAGGCTCAGGTGGAACGTGACACTTTTTCGTGCGTGCAGCCGGTGTTCATTTATGTATAAGACGATATCAAAACACCATATTTTGTAACTCACCGACAAGAATCGATGGAATAGCCGACTTTGCAGAGGACATCGAGTTTGTCCCCGACCCGACGAACCGCCTCCCTCGGCGTGATGTCCACCACTTGTCCTGGAAACAAAATAATATCAAATTTAATACAACTGTTGAAGCCATGTATAACTTTCAGGTCATGTCTGTTAGACTTTTCATTCCTTTCGCCCGCTTTGTTTCATCACCTAAGATTGAAGACTATTTCATCAATGTTTTTTTAAAGTTATACTTCTTTAGGCGCGTTATGAAAAAATCATGTGAGTGAAATTTCGAGATGCGCGCGCATCACTGTAAAACAATAGTAACACCATGAAGTTGGCCGCGGGCGCGTTATGAATGTTAGTGTCTAATAATGGTGGATTATTAACCACTTAGTGGTTAATAATCCACCATTATTAGACATCTGTTCGAAAGGTACTTTGAACGATCCAAGGAGCTCCATAAGATGATCGCGTTGTCAAAAACAATGTTGGCACGCTCGTCGCCTCTGATCATTGTTTTCATATTTATAATATTTATCCACATGTTTCTAGTTTCTATATAGACACAACGTGTTTTAGTTACTTACAAGTGCTAATTACATATGAACTAATAACTTAAATTCAGTAGTGATTTTAATTGAATATTTTGAATATTTATTTAATTTTTCAAATTAAAACTGAACTTAATTGACTGTGTTAACTATCCTTTTCCAGTCCTTTTATTATATTATTGTAATTATTAATTATTTGCATGCAATTAAAAAATATTTTTAATGATGCTAAAGAAGTATAACTTCTCACGCGCGTACATAAGTTACACGCATCCATTTTTTTCTTTATATGTTTTCTTTTTGGTAACTAAGGTTTATATATGTTATTCAGCTGTGTACATTTTTGCTGGTCTTTGGCTGCTTAATGTACCTTTACAAATAAAAATAATAAAAATGTCCTTGTGAATTCTACTAATAATATAAATGTGAAACTTTGTATGTTTGTTTTTCAATCGATTTTGCGTTACTACTGAGATTGACATAAGTCATAATATTTATTGCTTCATGTTGGTTTCATGTAGTTTTTAAATCTAATAACAGCTCGCAAACATGAGCCCTACACAGGTATTGCAAATTATAGATTTCGTTTTTAAATCTAATAACAGCTCGCAAACATGATCCTTGCACAGACATTGCAAATTATAATAAAAGTTTACAAAAAATAATGTAAAATTTTATAAAATTACTTTAGGATAAAAAATATCATATAATACTTTAATCAATTATAAAATACATATAAGGTTAGGTCAAGAAATGTATGTATACCCAATTTATGTCAGAAAAAATGATAACCAATCTACGTCAGAAAAATCAAATCAATTAGTTGTGCGTCATTAATTAGAACGTCACATACAAAAAAATATATTGTCATACACATAAAAAGAAAACAGATTATCAGTTATCTATTTATTATACCTAGTATTGAACCATTAATACTTAATAGACCACTGAATATATTTACACTGGACTTTAGTACCCTCAGTAAGAGTTTTACAATTACGAAAACTATGATAGTTTTCGTGAGCTCGCACTCGTACTAAGTGTAATGATTTTATTGTTTTCGTTTCAATACAAATAAACAGTATTTAAATTCTATCATTAAATCATTTGCGTCTTCTTCAATTTTAAGTATATTTGGTTAGTTTTCACCAAAATGGACATAGAAACATAATTTACAATAGGGATGATGATTAATTTTTTTTTCTTCGTTTATCAGGTAGATTATCAAAAAGTATTGGACACGTATTTTTTCTTTTTTCACATAATATAATCATTGCAGAGATATATTGATTTGAAAAGTCGCATGACGTCACGTTTGAGTACACTTATAAGTGAAAATTCACTCAAAAGTGACGTCACGAGCCCCTACTCCCAAACTTTGACGCGCTATAACTCTGTCATTTTTTGGTTGATTGCCCAAAGAAAAAATACGTGTCCATTATTTTTTGATCATGTAACTGACGGACTAAATAGAATTTCTTTTACTGTACCCCGTCATCACCCCTATTACGAAAACTATGATAGTTTTCGTGAACGCAAACTCATACTAAGTGTACAGGTGAGGTGGACTAATTTGCCGGATAAATCTATTAAAAAAAATTTTTGGTAGAAGTATAGTGAGGGCGAGCCAGCGACATCGGTTCCCGCACAAACAAACTATTTTCACCATTCTAACCTCTTCCTGTGTTCGGTGTGCCGAAAGTTTAAATGAATTATAGACAGTAAAAAAAAAACTACAAGGCTATTTTATTTTATTTAAGGCTAAAGGGAAATAGCAAAAAGGTTAGTCGATATCGCAGGAGACCGAAGAGCTGGCAGTTACCTCGGACAAAGAATTAGTCTAGCCATTCAAAGGGGTAACGCTGCCAGTATCTTCGGATCCTTGCCTAAAGGGACTCCTTTTAATAATGTATTTTAGTTACTATATTTTATTTTTTAAGGTTTTTAGTTTTATTGTTCTAGTATTTGTATATAGAGTAATTATGTAAAAAACAATTATCACACATTACTTACACCATTACAAATACCATATCTTTATTCAGATACACATATATAGACATATATATGAATAACTGGCTGGAATGTATCAATTTGTATCAACTAAGCGAAAAAGCCAATAAAAAGGGCTTTCATTAAATATATTACTCGTGCTCAAGTTACGGGTGCGTGCAAAATGCGAACATTTCGGCTTAAAAGAAAAACCCATTTGGGCTTGTTTTTTTATTGCTTTATGTTTTTTGTATGTAAATTATGAGACCCATCGAATGTTTTAGAACTTTTGGGGATTTAGGCCTTTTCCTGTTTAACAGTCAGTCCAACTTTGTCAATCGCTTAAAGTCAAATAAAGGTACAATAAGGATTAAACATAATTAAAAATTTAATAACCACCCGCGCCATTATTAGAGTTGTATTATATTTGTTTCATTTTCCTTCATAGTTCCTAGATAGAGACTTATTATTATAATACGGTAAAATAAAATATTACTATGTTTCGTCCAATGTATTGAAAGTCAACAACCTTTCAAATTTTGACGCGAGTTTAATTTAACATTTTTTACCCATACAAAAAAAGTGTACAACGCCGCTAAAGAAGTTTTCACTTCAATAATGTATCTTTAGAAATAAAAACCCTTTTGCGATCAAAAAGTATGTGCAAAAAGTCGCAGGCTGCCGCTAGTAATAAATAAATATTTCCAACACTCACACCAATTAGCCTAGCCCCAAAGTAAGCACTGTAAGGCTTGTATTATGGGATACTAGGATATTTATATAGAAATACATATTAAACATCCATGACTGGAGTGCAAATGCTCGTATTCATCACACAACCATCTGCCCCCACTAGGATTCGAAACGGGACCTGTAGAGTCGGCGACACCATGAAACCCGGCGTACAAACCACTCGGCCATGCAGGTCGTCATTAGCATACTGCTGTACATACCATCGTAGCTTCACATGTAAGAGTTTAGAATTTGCCCTGTTTTCGTTAGGCTTGTTTAAAATATATCGATGTATCGATATATCGATATTTTTTGTTCGATATATCGATATTTTGAACCGATATATTTTGATTCGATATATCGATACATCGATACAAAATAACCAATATCGAAATTTGTATCAAAAACGATATTTTTTTAATTATTAGCGGCATATCACGATCTAACTAAATTCGTATCTGGAAAAATCGTAACTGGATCTCAGATTAATGATATTTAACATATCTATGATCTGTGTATTTAGTATTGTCTATGATTTGTAAATCTGTTTCGCTGGTGAATTCCATTATATTCTGTGGAAGTGTGTGACTGTCCAGTCTTGTTTACGAAAGATGGCACCTGAGAGGCCCTGCAATCATTTTCATCATTCGAAAACAGGGTCTACTTTTAGGGAGATAATTTTCGTTCCATTATTATTCTGCGTGTCGTCTTTCGTGAGATACTGTACTGTCATGTAGTGTAGCGGCAATTTGGTACTAATTCTTTCTTTAATTATAATTTGTATTGTTATTATTACTGTGCTAGGCTGACTGTGCTACATATATTTTTGGGAAAATTGGTCCGATATATCGATGTTTTTTTCGCGATATATCGAAGCCGATATTGATATTTTTTTAAAATATCGATGTATCGATATATCGATATTTTTTTCAACTTTCGACATCCCTAGTTTTCGTTCTGCTTTAAGGACGTCATGAAAACACAAGCACATGTTCGTATTCCCACGTAAAGGGCCTAATGAAGGCTTAAAATTCAAAACCTTCAGATGGTTCCCAGTTTATCGACCGGCGCGTCTATGTGTGTATATACAAACTTTTATTTACTTACACTCATGTCGAAATATTCGAATTACGAAATTAAAGATGGTTTTATAAAGACTCGCTTTATTAACGCATATACATATACATAAAATTTAAAATAAAACTCATCACAGTACTGCTAGTTGTATCGTAAAATAACTTTTTTTTTCCTAAATGGCTTCGCACGGCTTGTGCATCTAGCCAATGTCATGTGTTAAAATGTTTACAAATTCTATAGCAGTCGTGGTCAAAGTATTAAGTCAAGTCAAAGTAAGTGGCAGTCAAGTCAATCACCTTTGCCTATGTTTCAGTAAAAGTGTGGGGATTTACTGGAACCTCCCCGTGGACTTCTTGAGGGAACGTCGAAAGACACTTTCTGCCCTTTTTTAGTTTCACTTGCCAACGCTTGTGCATGCTCCCAAACACTTAGTGGTTAATAATCCACCATTATTATACACTAACATCCGCCACAACACAATTTTTAATAAGAAAAACAAAACTGCTAAAGTGACGCTTCCCGATCCCGCCAAAAAGTCCGTAAAATAACTTCAATTTATTAATTTAGGCTATGATTTTTGACGCATGACGCATTCGAAATATGAAATTAATTTCCCGCGCTACGCATACAATTTTCTTCCGATCGAATTTTGTTTTCGGGATTTCAGAATAATAAAGTACACACAGAAAAAGTAAAGTATTTTTATCATTGTCCTTATTACAATTTTTACATGCATAAATATGTTCTGTGTTCGTGAATTTTTTTTTATGAGTGCGTTCGGAAATGTTTACGTAAACCCTAACTTAATGTCAACTTGTGATCATTGAATTTAAGTTTAAAATATAGTATTTTAGCATACTTTATGCGTTTCGTATATAATAAAGTATACAGAGGCAAAATATAGTAGAATGCTATATATTATAATATATCTGGCAACCTTTGACGACCTCCGTGGCCGAGTGGTTTGTACGCCGGGTTTCATGGTGTCGCCGACTCGAGAGGTCCCGGGTTCGAATCCCGGTGGGGGCAGATGTTTGTGTGATGAATACGAGCATTTGGGGCTAGGCTAATTGGTGTGAGTGTTGGAAATATTTATTTATTATAACCCTAAT